TGCTGCCGCTGCTGCCGCTGCTGCCGCCATAAACCTGATTATGGTAATAGATTTTCTGTCTCGTTACGGCTGCTACTAATCTAATCTAATATATTGTAGTCACGAAGCCCGTCTGCCGGCGCCGCTGCGCACACGCGCGCGCGCGTAGTGCGTGCGGGTGACAGTGAAGCCTCTTGGGGGGAAGGCCTGTCGACTTGCTTCTCCTGCGGCTGGCAGCTTGATGAGTTGTTTATAGTGGTGGTTGATGGTGTGGAGGCGAATGCGACAGTTCGCTGTACGTGTCGGTATCGGGGCGCTATCACCACACGCTGCGCCTGCCTGTTGTAGGGACTCATGACATGTGGCGCAATCTTATTATATATTGTATTATTATATATTGTATTATTATATATTGTATTATTATATATTGTATTATTATTATTATATTGTGCATAGTTACACACCACTTTTCAGTGCCACACAGTAACGGTTGGCGATTATTTCGACTGGAGGGAAGAGGAGACGTGACAGGGGTCAGAGTAACAGGAAACTAGAATGGTCGAAAGAGGTGGAGAGCGAGGGGACAGACATACACGTGCACGCACACACACGCACGCACACGCACACACTCACTCCTCACTGACGCTCGTATATATACGGGAGTACGTAACATTTTTTTCAGCTGGCTGCTGTGCGATGTTGCTGGTTGCGATTAATTACGCTTGTCTTCGAGTAATGGAGGTGATCTTAAAGGAGACGTGGAAAACGAAGCGAAATGATTAGAAGAACAGGATCCGCTGTAAGAGTGAGTAGAGTGGATGTTAATTTAGCTATCCCGTCGGGTGTTTCGCAGCTGTCTCGGAACCACATACACACACACATACACACACATACACGCACATATACACGCGTAGACAGTCGGCTACGCTATTAGCGCTGTACGGCAGATGCTAGGGGGAAAGCTGATCCGTCTGTCCGCAGGCAAAGATAAACACACAATAACAACGACCTGACAGCCTTCAGGAGGCTGGCACTCTTCATCGCTCAGCATCAGTACCACTCGGCCTGCCACGCACAGCATGGCTGCCTAGCTGCCAGTACAGCATGGCTGCCTCCCAGTACAGCATGGCTGCCAGTACAGCATGGCTGCCAGTACAGCATGGCTGCCTAGCTCCCAGTACAGCATGGCTGCCAGTACAGCATGGCTGCCAGTACAGCATGGCTGCCTAGCTCCCAGTACAGCATGGCTGCCAGTACAGCATGGCTGCCAGTACAGCATGGCTGCCTAGCTCCCAGTACAGCATGGCTGCCAGTACAGCATGGCTGCCAGTACAGCATGGCTGCCTACTCCTCAGTACAGCATGCGCTGCCTACGCTCCCAAGTTACATGCGATGGCTGCTAGCTCCCAGTACAGCATGGCGATTGCCAGTACCAGCATGGCTACATAGCTGCCAGTTACAGCATGGCCTGTTCTCCCAAGTACAGCATGGCTGTCCCCATACAGCCATGGCTGCTAGCCTCCCAGTACAGCATGGCTACATAGCTCCCAGTACAGCATGGCTGTCTCCAGTAGCCATGGCTGCCACGTTACAGCATGGCGCATAGCTCCCGAGTCACCAAGCAGGCTGCGCCAGTACAGCATGGCTGCATAGCTCCCAGGTTACACATGGCTGTCTCCCAGTAAATGGCTGTCTCCACAGTTACAGCCATGACTTCACTCATCCGCAGGTTTAGACAATACAACGACAAGATGAATACATGTATACATTCCCGCAAGCGTCGCAACGCCCACAGGTTTCTTCGTCCTGCGAGCATAAGATAACACGTGTCGCATAGATAAACAAGCGGAAATCGCTGAGTCACTCGATCGCACCCTCATACAGTTCCGTGTGAAACATCCGGTAGCCAGTAGACGCCACAGTAGCACGACGCTTGAGTTGAGTACGTTGCTGGGTGGGGTGATGGGACCGAGCTTGCTTGCTTGGTGTGAATGTCTCTTCAGAGCGCGGGCCCCCCAGGCGACAGACCGGATGTTTTTGCACAGCCTCGCCCCGCTCTCGTGTTATGTGTGTGAGTCGCATGCAAACAACTCTTCTAGCAAGAAGATGCCTTCACACCGTGGCCTTGTCGCGGCTCTCCGAAACTCCTTCCCAATCATTCAATAGCCTAGCTTGTCGTTAAACAGAGGATCGAAACAGACTAGAGAGATGAGATTGAGAGATGAGAGATGTTAAGAGAGACGGAGGAGAGACGAGATTGTTAACTTTGCCTTCTTCACACACGTATTATCTCAACTCCTGATGCTCAAGTTGTGAGAGATGAGAGAGGAGGAGAGAGAGTGTGTAGGTAGAGTGGAAAGAGCTGGCTATAGATATTAATGATAAGACATAGACAAACGGATGAAGAGAGGGAAAGCCGAAAGAAGAGGCAGTGCGAAAGAGAGCGAGAGAGAGAAAAGGGGAAAACTGCGAGATGAGGGGGGGGGGAGGAAGAAGAAGAAAGAGAGAGGAAGTCGAGAGAGCAGAGAGAGGGAAGAAAGGAAAACGAGCGATGGCATTATGTTGTGAGCGACGGAGGGAGGCCCGGTCAGAGAGAGAGCAGAGGATTATAGATATATAGATATTATATAGAGAGTGAGAGAGAATGAGAGAGGAGAGGGTCCCCGTTTTGGGTATCTCGCTTCTTTGATTTTGGGAGAGATGTATGAGGATGAGAGGGAGAAAAGACGAGAGGAGAGAGGAGAGAGTGAGAACGAGGATAACGAGAACAAACGAATTATTGGGAGATTCGTTGCAAGCACTTACTCTGGATCAGCAATAGATAGACGAGTCCGAGGAGACAACAACGATGCAGGACGTCTAATCAGCGTGTTAGCGCAACAGCTATACAGTAAGTTCTGTGTTCAGCATAACACAGGCAGCAGCGGCGTCGCACGATAAGTGTATCTTGCTTCCTCAGTACTGTCGCCTCATCCTGGCTCACGCCTCCCCCCCCCGCACCCACAGACTAGCCGCGGTGTCGGATAAACAGCCCAGGAGCCGGGAGTGAGGGGACCAGCTTTCTTGACCCGTGGTGATTAAACGACGACATTGATAGTTTGAGTCGACAGATGGCTGGCAAGTCCAGTACGTCATTCCCTGCCGACCTGCCCCGCATCCTGCCTGCATCCTGCCCCGCATCCCTGCCTGCATCCCTGCTGATCCCTCCCCGCATCCCTGCCTGCCCATCCCTGCCTGACATCCCTGCTTCCCCCATCCATCCTGCCGCGCATCCTGCCGATCCCTGCCCCGCATCCCTGGCTGATTCCCTGCCTGCATCCCTTGCCCGCATTCCTTGCCCCCAATCTTGCCCCGCATCCCTGTCCATGCATCCCTGCCCGCATTCCTTCCCCGCATCTCTCTGCGCCTGCATCCCTGCCGCATCCCGCCTGCATCCCTGCCTGCATCTCCTGCCCGCTTATGCCCTTGCCTGCATCCTTGCCGCATCCCTGCCGCCACATCCCTTGCCGCATCCCTGTCCTGAATCCTGCGCCCCGCATCCCTGCCTGCATCCCTGCTGCATCACCTGGCCCCGATCCCTGCTGCATCCTTGCCCGCATCCCTGCCCAACATCCCGCCCCGCATCCCTGCCCGCAATCCTGCCGCAATCCCTGCCCGCATCCTTGCCCCCCACATTCTCCTTGCCTGCATCCCTGCCCGCATCCCTGGCCTGCCATCCTGCCTGCATTCCCTGACTCCGCATCCCTGGCATCTCTTGCCCGCATCCCTGCCGCCACAGGCTCTGCCCGCATCCCTGCTGCCATCCCTGCCCGCAATCCCTTGCCCCCACATCCTGCCCCGCATTCCTTTGCCTGCATCCCTGCCTGCATCCCTGCCCCACATCCCTGCCCCGCATCCCTGCCTGATCCCTGCCCCGCATCCCGCCCCCACATCCCTGCCTGCATCCCTGCCTGCATCCCTGGCCGCAATCCTCTGCCTGCATCCCTGCCTCCAGTCATCCCTGCCTGTCATCCTTGCGCCCATCACTGCCCCCACATCCCTGCGGCATCCGCGTGCCCCATCCCTGCCCTGCATCCCTGCCCGGCGATCCCGTGCCCGCATCGCCTGCCCCGCATCCCTGGCCTGCATCCCTGCCTGCCATCTGCCCGCATCCCTTGCCTGCATACCTTTGCCCGCATCTCCTAGCCCCCACATCCCTGCCCGCATCTCCC